AAAAAAAAAAAAAAAAAAAAAAAAAAAAAAAAAAAAAAAAAAAAAAAAAAAAAAAAAAAAAAAAAAAAAAAAAAAAAAAAAAAAAAAAAAAAAAAAAAAAAAAAAAAAAAAAAAAAAAAAAAAAAAAAAAAAAAAAAAAAAAAAAAAAAAAAAAAAAAAAAAAAAAAAAAAAAAAAAAAAAAAAAACCAAGCAATGCGAGCACGCATAGCACAGTGGCGGTGGCGCCGCCACTTGTAGGGGCAGCTAGAAAGGACTCGGGTCTTTCTAGCAGGCTAACCAATACGTTCGCCTTCTCCCTGCGGCAACTCATACTAGCAGATAACCAGATCGATGATGAAGTCTTCGAGCAGATCACGCTTCTCAGTGAGTTGCGGGTGCTGAACTTATCTTACAACGAACTCAGCGATATGCCACAGCGATGCATTAAGAACTGGCCGCAGCTTGTTGAGTTATACCTGTCCGGTAACGACTTGACCAGCTTGCCTGTTGATGACTTGGAAGAATACAGCCTTCTCCAGGTGCTCCACATCAACAACAATAAGTTCACCAATCTTCCAGCAGATATTTCAAGGGCGAAGAAGCTGGCTGTACTGGATTGTGGAAACAATTCACTGAAGTACAACATCTCAAACGTTCCTTACGACTGGAATTGGAACCTCAACCCCAATCTGCGCTATCTGAAACTTGTCTGGCAACAAACGTTTGGAGATCAAGCAAAACCCGCAAGGGCCGGCGGCGCAAAATCGAGAGCAATACACTGATTTCAGTCGCCTGCTGAACCTTCGCATCTTAGGCCTGATGGATGTGACCCTTACTTCGCCCAATACACCCGAACAAAGCGAAGATCGTCGTGTGAGGACGTCGGGCTCGTTGGCAGGCCATCTTCCCTATGGTATGGCGGATACCATGGGGAAGAACGAACATCTATCCACCATCGATCTGGTTGTCCCTCGATTCAACTCGTCAGATACAGAAATCCTGCTCGGTCTGTTTGACGGCCAAGCCCTTTCCAGCGGAGGCTCTAAGATCGCCAAGTATCTGCATGAGAACTTTGGTCATATCTTCACAACAGAATTGAAGAACCTGAAGACACGCCAGAACGAAGGGCCAGAGGACGCCTTACGCCGCGCGTTCCTTTCTCTCAACAAAGATCTGGTTACCGTCGCTATCGAGCACACGGAGAAGAGGCCAATGGGCACACACCGCGGGTCTGGAGCCCCTGTAGTATTAAGTAAAGAGGATCTCAATTCGGGAAGCGTTGCGACTATCGCATATCTACAGGGCCAAGAACTCTACGTCGCAAACGTTGGAGATGCGCAGGCGATGCTCATTCAAGCGGATGGTTCTCACAAGATCTTGACACGGAAACATGATCCAGCTGAACCCACGGAACGTCAGCGAATTCGAGATGCGGGTGGTTGGGTGTCCCGCCAAGGAAAATTGAACGACCTGCTTGAGGTGTCTCGCGCATTTGGCTATGTCGACCTGATGCCATCTGTACAAGCAGCACCTGATGTGAACCATATGCGAATTACCCCGCAGGACGAACGATCGTAATTGCAACCAAAGAGCTATGGGAATATCTCAAGCCCGCGCTGATTGTTGACGTCTCACGGTCTGAGCGAGGCGACCTCATGCGAGCCTCACAGAGGCTGCGAGATCTTGCCATTGCGTATGGCTCAACTAACAAGATCATGGTTATGATGATCAGTGTTACCGATCTCAAGCGACGACAAGAGCGATCAACGCGTCTACATAGAGGACAAAGCATGTCATTGTATCCCTCAGGTGTTCCTGACGAATTTCAATACCCAGCAAAGAGAGGCAAGAAGCCGAAAGGTGGAATCTTGGACTCAGACCTACATCGGCTGGAGGCTGAAGTGCCTGCACCGATTGACAAGCCTTCCATTGTTTTCACGGACATCAAGAACTCCACCAATCTATGGGAAATGTATCCTGACGCAATGAGATCCTCCATCAAGCTACACAACGAGGTTATGCGGCGGCAACTTCGCCGGATCGGCGGCTACGAAGTCAAAACAGAAGGCGATGCTTTCATGGTATCCTTTCCAACCGCAACATCAGCACTGCTATGGTGCTTTTCCGTACAACTGCAGCTTCTTGAAGTAAACTGGCCATCTGATGTGCTCAATTCCGTATCCTGCCAGGAAATCTGCGACAAGGACAACCAGCTCATTTTCAAAGGTTTATCCGTCAGAATGGGTATTCATTATGGTGAGCCAGTGGCCGAGATAGATCCTGTAACCCGCCGTATGGACTACTTCGGGCCGATGGTCAACAAAGCCTCCCGTATTTCCGCAGTGGCCGACGGAGGTCAGATCGCCGTGTCTGCAGATTTCATTTCGGAGATACAACGGTGTCTTGAGACGTACCAGGAGAACGAGCGGGCAGTGTCAATGGGCGCAGCCGAAATTGATGCATTCGACGACACGAATACTGCATCAGCTATCCGGAGAGAATTGAAATCACTTACATCCCAAGGTTTTGAGGTCAAGGAAATGGGCGAGCGAAAATTGAAGGGACTCGAAAATCCCGAATATGTCTATTCTCTCTACCCTCATGCTCTCGCTGGCCGAATTGATTATCACATGGTTCCTACTGCAACTGTTGGTCCGACCGACCAGCCTGCACGACTTGTGCCTGGAAGCGAGCTTGGCATCGACCCAGAAATGATATGGTCTTTATGGAAAGTAAGCCTACGGCTTGAGATGCTTTGTAGCAGTTTGGAGGAGATGTCGGGCAGAGGGCTGCAGCCTCCCGAGACCGAACTCCTCGAGCGTATGCAGCATCGCGGTGGCGAGGTCACCGATCGATTCCTATACAACTTCATGGAGCACCAAGTGAGCCGTATCGAAGTAAGTGGATATCTTAAGTGCAACCCCGGTTATTAATTTGCTAACCGTCTGCCATAGACATGTGTTTCAACCCTGGCACTGCGACACGCTGCCATGGGTGGCGGTCATATCAAGCAGCTAGAGGATCTCCGCGCACCGATGGCCGCCATCCTCGGACATGTCACCCAGCAGATGGCCGAGCTTGAGAGATACAAGGCCAAGTATGGTCCTCTTGCGGAATCCTCGGACGAGGGCAGTGACACGGAGCAAGAATAGGAACGATTGTTCTGCATTGCTTCCTCCTAGCATCTGAGATATCGTACCACCTTACCACCACCCTTGACGGCCTCGAGGAGCTAGGCCTACAGGCTATCGACGCGACTTTATTTACTTACAGCATTATACTATATCTTTATTCACTCTGAAATGCGCTACGAAAATCATCTCTTGGAAATAACAGCAAGAGAACGGCCTGATTTGCTTAAGTTCGAGGGCGGTGACTGGTTTGGTGGGAAACGGCGTTTTCCTGTGAGCAAGCATTATCCAGGATTCACAAAAAGGAAGTCTATTTTGACAGGAGGCTGGTTTGTAAGGTCTCTGCTAGCCTCTAGGTTGGTGTTTTTATCTGGAATATCCCGATGCTCAACAAAGGGGTTGGGTTTGGCGATGGCTTTTCGGCATTGAGGCATTGGGAATACTACTACACTTGTCTGTTACCTATACCTACTCTGTATTATGAACCTGCATCAGGCGTTGTGGTCTTTCAAACGGTGCTTGCGTGGAGCAGCAATTGCATCCCACCTTGGTTGGCAGACATTATCAGATAGCATGGCTTGCCAACTGCATTTGGTAGGAATGCATGAATACACTATTATTGTTAATCGATGCTATATGTATACCGCATCGCCGTATCCAATGATGATCCTGCCAGGCTACGTTCGTTCATACCTCATAACCTTGCGAGTAGGTCATCATGCATCGTTTCTACTGTCACGGGACAAAAACTTAAAAAACGTGGGTGCAAAATTCATAGTGCCTCTCTGATTTCAATTGTCTGTCTACATTCCCTGCACGTCCCACGCTTTTCCCGCGTCTTATACGGCCCTTGCGACCGCCCGCATCCCCCGAAACCCCCTCTCGCCTTCAGCACCGCGAAGCATTTATGCATGTGATGCTCGAACGACGTGATTGAGCCGCATTGGGCACACGCCGTGTGCTTATTCTCCGAGTAGCACATGGTCTTTCTGTCTACCTTAATAGATAGATAAGATAATATGTGGTAGGTAGGTAAGTAAGTTGTTGATGCGAGCTTGGCCTGGCTGTTTGTTATGTGTTTTCTCTTGTTATTTATCGATTTGATTTGCATTGCATGTTGTTGATGCTGTTGAATATATATAATATATAGCTTATCTTATATATAGGCTGAGATTGCTATGGCCATGGTTCATGTTCACCATCGAGCTTATATATCTTGTCTCTATTGCGATCTGTCAAGACTCCCCAGGGTCTACAACAGGTTTGTGCAAGTACGGCCTTTCATGTACTCATCTTCAAAGATAGCAGGGGCATTGTAATGGACAGATGGAGAAAGAGAGTCAAGGTTGTCAATGGAATAAAGAGGCCTCTGTCTACATTGTAAATGCATGCAGCCCTTATACTGTTCAGCTTTCTGGGAATTGGTTTTTTGTGAGGCCGCCACAGAAGTGACGTCTATGTGACTAGCCCAGTACAGTGCGATGATAAAGAGATACCATATGTCATAGAATAAAATAGATTATTTGGGCCATTTCCCTAGAGCAGCAGTGCAGCTTATACGTGTTCACAAGTAAAGTTAGATCAGGTAAAATAATGAAATAAATGGTTTGAGAAAGGAACAAGAAAGGCTGCTCTGATAAGTAGGTAGGTAGGTTGTAGGTAGCATGCAACACCAACCTGTCCACCACAGACCACAGCAGTCACACACATGATGCATTCAACATGCGCCATTACAGGTGCAATAAACACAGTAATTAGTAATTAGCATCAGAACAGGATGTTATATATATACAGTGAATCACAAGACGTGGTTGAACATCAATGGGATAAGAGACGGACGGAAACAAAAAGAAATGGAAGGAAAAGTATCAGCATGGCAGAGAAAAAACTGCACCCGCCGGGATTCGCACCCGGGTCTTTCCTTTGGGAGAGGAATGAGTTAACTACTACTCTACGAGTGCCTTGGTTGTTGTTGTTCTCAGCTGTGTCATTCCTCACGTTGTTATTGTTAATAGCTTGGGTGTTGTTGGGTGGATTGGTTGTTTGCTTGGTGGGGGCTCCTGCCTTCCTTCCTGCTGTGCTTCCCTAGAACAGGACGTGTGACTTATATGTACAGATAGTATGTACTTAGCATACCTACCTATTGCTTCAATTGCTTGCCCTCAAGTTGGGTATCTATGCAGTAGATTATTCCCTTGGTTACACAGCTTCAAGTTCTACGCCTCCATTATTAGATCATGTAGCTACCCATGGCATATAAGTATGTGCCAGGTAAGCAATGAGACAACAAGTATACAAGAAGCTGAGGACTACACCTCTCTATCCTTCTCCACCACGGTAGGAAACTTGATACATCACATGTAGTAAGTAGGTAGTTACATATATCAAATGTCACACAGATTGCACTACAAGCTGCTCCAACAGTTGTAACCTTACAAGTTCCAAGCATACAAAGCTTGCCATGCCAACTAAGTATAAGGTTTTGATCAAGTATCACCACTGGGCTTACAAACAGTGTCCTTGTGTGTAACACAAGCCTCTACACCTGTTAGACACGCCATGCGGGACCTGCCATATCACCAACGTCTGCTGTACGGCCGCCTGCTGACAAGATGCCCAATGCACTTGACAAACATACAGCAGCACATTGAGCTCATATTTACATAGTGCACAGTAACAGGTGAAATAACATTTACTTCACTTGCTAAAAGCTAGGGGCATGTAGAAAGTTTTACAAAACACCATTCGTTATATGGTAGGACTGATACCTAGTACTTACTTAGGTTACCTAGGAATCCAAGTCAGATTTGAGGTGAGAGTATCTACATACAAGATGAGGGAAGTGAGCAACAGCGTCTTATTTTAGTCTACCTATTAGAAGGGCGTGAAATTCCTGCCCAAAGTCATGGCCCATGAGACACCAAGTGAGATAGATACCTAATATGATAGTTCCACTGCTGTGTACAATACGACACTCAACCTAACCTCTCCACCATGTCTCTGGACAGGGAGCCATGTTTCTTTACTAGCATGCCTTCCGTATAATCTTTCCTTCGTCTTTCCACAGTTCCTCTTCTTGTGCATTGGTGGCACAGACACTTCTGATATATTGCAAGCCTCTGTATACACCTGAGTAACTGACCACGCTCAAATTCTGGCCGTCCATACCCATGATAAAAGCTGGGAGAGGCCTGCCTCTCTTCAGCATGCGGCCATGTCGCGCCCTACCATGTCGTGGGCGGCTAAGCAGCCTAGTGATTAGTGGGTAGCCACAAAAATATATCCAAGGGGTATATGTGCAGTCCAGCCTAGATTAACATCAAATAACACACGCACACACGCTGAGCAAAACACGTTCCCTGTATCGATTTCAGACCGAAGCCTGGGATGCTACGCCAGAAATTTTCATGATCCCGTCAGTTTTCGCCACCAGCTGTTTCGAGGAGTCGTATCCATGAAGACGGGTTCGCGCTGAGCCTTTTCCCCGCTACCATCGGACCCGCCTGGTCGACGGTCTCGGCGCTCTCGTTCCTCACGCCGTGCACGTCTTCGTTTCTGATCGTCTTCGTACTCTCGTTCGCTTCGTCGGCTCTCTCCCGTTCCCGCCGACGGGCAGCTCGCCGGGCAGCACGTCGGGCTTCCTCGTCATCCGTTGCTGGAGGAGCATCAGTCATAAACCCGTCCTCCGGTGGTGGACCAGCATCTGAGTGTTCTTTCACCCACGAACTCGTACCAGAATGAGGCCAATTCGGTGTCCTGCTCTTGGCGTAATCATCGTCTGTGTGCCTTGATGAACGTTCTCGCGGATACACGTGGTCTGCCGTGGGCATAGAACGGTTGCGACCGGCCTTCTCCGCCCGTCTGGCTTCGCGCCTTCGTCGTCGTTCCTCGTCTTCGGATCCTTCACCATGCCGCGGTCGCCTTCGATCGGCTCGGGCGGCCCGACGAGCTTCTGCCTCCGCTTCCGCAGCAGCGGCGGCTTCCTTTTCGAGTCGCCTCCGCCGCCGCCGATCTGATCTGTCAGCCTCTTCACCTGCAAGTCTTTGGGCTTCACGCTCTCGTGCAGCCCTCCGCTCCGCTCGACGCGCCTCCCGATCTTCCTGCCGACGCGCCTCTTCTTCCTCCTCATCATCTTGTTGTCGGCGTCTATCACGACGAGGGTCCTTGGCACGTCGAGTCTCTTCGGCCTCCTTCTGTTCTCGTGCTGCTCGCCGAGCAGCACGTCGAGCTTCACGGTCAGCGTCCATGTCCGCGTCTGCGTTACTCATTCCTCGTGATCGCCTTGCTCGCTTATCAGGTCGTCCCTCGTCGTCGGTCGGATGATATGTGCTCCGACGGCGGGGCTCTGGGCGGGCCTCGGGACGGGCCTCGGAGCGAGAATTTGATGACTTGAAACCACCAAAGAGGCCTGATATACCCTTTTTGGCACTCGAGTTGGACCTTCTCAAGGGTGGCACATCAGCATGGCCCCCTGGATCAACCATGAAATAATCGTCGTCTGGTTTTGCCTATTTTCAAGTCAGTAATGCTGAGATCTCAGGTATTTCAGGCCTTCTTTCATTCACCTTTGATCTTTTGCGCGCCGACTTATCAGGGCTTGCTACAAATCACGCGTTCCGCCCATGACAAAGTCGTCATCCTCAGCGGCCATACGGTTTCTCGAAGTTCGCCGGCTGCCGTTCCTGTCAACTCCTAGAAACTGTGCCGCCTTAGGGTTTATCTCTGGCATCTCCTCAGGCGGTGGTGATGCAAGTCCACCACTCATGTCGACGGAGTAGCGCCTTGAGCTAGTTCTACGGCCTTGGTTTTCTCTCATTGACATAGAGCGTGAGATAGGAGGTGTGCTTTGGAAGACGCTGTCCATGCGCGACCGGGAATTGGGCGGAATCTTCTTCTCTTGTCGCTCTGCTTTATCTGAGCCTGAACTCTTGGATGACACTTTCTCTTCTCTTTCTCTCCTTGACTTCTTAGCATCAGACTTGGACTTCGACACTTTTTTGTCTTCTTTGGTGATGTAGCCGAAGCTGACCATGCGCCCCATGACGCGCCACCATCACGATTGGTCTTGGCACGTTCTTTCTTGGAGGATCTAGACTCGGCTTGGGGTGATGGGGGGCTCGAGAGGGAAATCCTCAGGGACTGCAGGCGGTGGAGGGGGTACAGCAGGTGGTACGGGAGGCTGGGGAATGTCTTTAGATTTGTGCTTCTTGCTTTTCTTCGATTTTTTCTCCTTTGGGGGTGCGAGGTCAATTATCTCAACGATTTCATCGTCAGCGCCGCCGGTTTCCTCATCTTTGGGCTCTTCATCTGCAGGTGCCGCTTCGGGAACCTCGGCATCGTCATCTTCGCCCAAGGCGTCAATGTTACGATCTTCATCTGGAGTTCCAGCGTCGTGGAACTCATCCTGCACTTCAAAATCATGGAATTCGTCGTCATCGTCTTCATCAGGGAAACCACCTGGTACGATCTCTGGTTCTTTCTTAGATTTTTCTTGGATTTAGATGGTGGAGGTGGTGGTGGCGGCGGTGGAGGGGGGGCCTCTGGAAGCACGTCGATTAGGTCATCCTCTGGATCATCGTATGGCGCTGGCTCAAATTTTTTCAGTTTGTCGGCTAATTTACTCGCTTTGCTTTTCTTCTTCGGCATCCAATCGTCAAAGGAAGACTTTGAGGTGACCGGGGCGGTGTCAACAGGGGAAGCATGCTCGAAGGCCTGTATTGACTCAGCATTTGTCGTTTCGGTTGCTCCTGGATACTATGCTACATTGAGGGGGAGGAGGATACTTACCGCTTCAGGAATTGGGCTTTTGGGTGGAACCTTCGCAGCACCCCAGAACGAGAAGGGGTCTGAGGCCTTTGTTGGTTCCTTTGGTTTCTTTGGCGGCTCCTCTAGGGCTGCGAGGAACTCATCAGCCTGCTCGGTTGTCAAGTCGAGATTGTCCATGTCAAAGTCGTCATCATTGGGCAATTCCTTCTTTTTATCCTTGCTGCTGGATTTCGACTTCTTCTCATCTGATTTCGAGCTTTTCTTCGATTTCTTCTTGGGGGCAGCAGCTTCAGCCTCTTGCTTCTCGCGGGCAGCTTGTTCCTCAGCCTCGCGGGCAGCTTGAGCCGCGTCTTCGGCTGCCTTCTCCTCGGCCTCTCGGGCAGCAGCTTCTTCAGCTTCCCGAGTGGCCAGCTCTTCGGCCTCAGCTGCGGCTAGTATGGCACTATCATCATCATCATCTTCATCGACGTCTTCAGCTTCAGCTTCAGCTGCAGCCGCAGCCGCAGCCGCAGCTTCTTTGGCAGCTATGCGTGCATTGATTTTCTCGGTCAGCTCGTTCAATCGCGCTTGGTCCAACTTGGTGAATTTCTTCTTTCTCTTATCTGCCTTGGCCTTCAAGAGCTCGAGCTCGGCATCGTCTGCAGCTTCCTCAGCCTCGCGTGCTGCCCGTTCCTCAGCTTCTCGCGCTGCAGCTTCTTCGGCTTCTCGAGCGGCCTGTCGATCATTGATCTTCTCAATAAGCTCGTCCAGTCGCTCTTGATCCTTCATGGTAAACTTCTTCTTCTCTTCTCTGCCTTATCCATCAGGAGATCGAGTTCTGCTTGCTCTGCAGCCTCTTCCGATTCAGGTGTAACCTCTTCTTCAGCTTCACGGGCAGCTTGTTCTTCAGCTTCGCGCGCAGCTTGTTCTTCGGCTTCGCGAGCGGCTAACTCCTCGGCTTCTCGAGCAGCTGCTTCTTCGGCTTCTCGAGCAGCTGCTTCTTCGGCTTCATGGGCCGCTAGCTCCTCAGCTTCGCGGGCAGCTAGCTCTTCAGCCTCGCGGGCTGCCTGCTCATCGGCTGCAGCTTGAGCTTCTGCATCAGGATCTGTAGCAATTGCACGGGCTTTGATCTTTTCTGTAAGCTCATCAAAACGCCGTTGCTCTTTTTTGAGAAGGCTTTTCTTTTTGCTCTTTCGTGTGAGAGCTTCAAGCTCTG